ACATGCAGCCTCAGTCTCTTTCTGCTGGGGGCTCCTCGACTTCAGCTGCGACATCAGGCCCAGGGTCTCGCTCTGAGTTCCTTAAGAGCATAGACCGTCTGCTGCTTGAGTCCAGTCACAGTGTTGCGGGCTCCAGTGAACTGGAGCTGCCGTGGGAGTCAGGCATTCTTAAAGAGATATTCTGCCCGGAGCATGCTGCCCCGATCACCCCCTCAGTGAAATTTCCTTTTGATATTCCCATTTCTTCAGCTTCGAGCCTTGGTGAAGCGGAGAAGCTTGCAAAGCCGGAGCCTCGATCCTGCAGCTTCTTTAAAGCCGTTTCTCAAAAGGTCAGAGTGATGAAGGCTCCGATCAGCCCTCTTGATAAACGTGAGCTGCTTTGCCAGCGGTTCCATGTGTTGCTGTCGCATTCTTATTCGGGTTCTAGGCTAGGGGGTACACTTGCCAAGGAGTCTTTTGAGAAGGGAACGCAACTCGTCTCGGATGCACTTGGGGGTAAAGCCCTGTCTACCCTCCAGAAAAGGTACGCGCAATTATCCAAGTACGTCACTTGGTGCAACGACACAGGATGCATAGGCTTTCCCCTTTCTTCGGATCTTGTGCGGCAATACACCGAGTTTGCAGTGAAGACCAAAGGGCATGGGTCAGTGTCCAGCAACCTTGAGTCTTTCAACTTTGCGATCTATGTCCTTGGTGTTTTCATTAATGAGCCTCTCCGGTCTGACCCGGTCCTGACAGGACGTGCTCGTCGCGAGAGATTGAACAAGCCTCCCAGGAGGCAGGCTCGCTCGTTTCTCGTTGCAGAAGTGCTTCACCTCGAGGGTTTCCTTGCGTCCGAACCCAACGCACTTTTGGACCGATTTGCCGCTGGTTGCATGCTCTTCGCGATATTTGCCAGGGCGAGGTTGGGCGACTTGAAGTCCGTGTCAAGGTTCACGCTTGACCTTGCAGAACCCTCTGCAGACTGCGCCGAAGGGTTCTTGGAGTGTTACTCTTATAGCCATAAGACTAAGACTAAGTCTCTAAGCAATGCGCTCGGCTTCAGGTTGCCTCTTGTGGCTCACGTAAAAGGACTGGGGCCTCGCATCTGGGGACTTGACTTCTTGGAGGTTGCACGGCAAGTGGATCAAGACCTTCTTCAGAAGGACGATGGTTCCGCGCTGTTGTGTGTGCCCACGTCTGTGGGCTCTTTGCTCAACCATCCGATCAAGAACGAAGCCTTCGTGGTGTGGATCAATGGCATCCTTAAGGATCTCCCTTTCTTCGGAGGTCACTTCACCGGCCACACGGCGAAGTCTACCTTGCTTCCTTGGTTGGCCAAATGGGGTGGCTCTGAGGATGACAGGGCCATTCTTGGGCATCACATGCCTAAGAGCAAAAGCGTAGCCACTTACAGCAGAGACCTTCAGGCTGGGCCTTTGAGAGTGCTGTGGTCTCTTCTATGTGACGTTCGGTCTGGAGCTTTCCTTCCTGATTGCACACGCTCTGGCCGCTTTGTCCGTCAAGTCGGTGATTCAGGAGTGGAGCCGGCCCTTGACGTTCCTCCTGGTCTCTCTGATGGGGCCCTCAGCCCTGACCTTGGCATCGGCATCTTAGGTGAGGGCCAAGGGCCTGTGAACATGGGCAGCGAGGTTGGTCCTGATGAGGAGTTGGCATGGTACCATAACCAGGAGCTGGAGGATGCTGACATCGAAGCTTTCCTCAACGAGAGCCGTGGCAGTGAGTTTGAGCCCCGGGGTTTCTCAGACCCTCCGCCTGAACCGGGGGCTTCTGATGATCCCCATGTGGAGGGGGATCGGGATGGCAGCGGTTCAGACTCTGAATCGAGTTCGAGTTCCAGCTCTTCTTCAAGCTCTTCAAGTGCTGATGAAAAGGTCCAGGCAGCAAGCGACTTAGCATGCAGATTGAGGCATCACGTCGTGGAGGGATGCAAGCTTTACCAGCATTGCAGGACAAAGACTGTGCATCGCATGCTTGAAAACTCGAGCGACGATAAGTTTGTCTGTGGCAGGCCTCTCACCAAAGACCATCGCCCCTTCAGGACCTTGGTCAAGATCACTGCTTGGGATTGCAAGCAATGTGCACAGAGAAAGCCGATTAGCAACACCGGCGCCCTTGTCGGCGCGCTTGATGCTGCCTTGGGCAAGCGATGACATCCCAGCGCGCTGGGCCTTCGGTGTCAAAATTCTTTTAACGTGCTATGCTAACTTTCCTTCAGAAGGAAAAATGGCAATGTGATGGGCACCTCACTGCCTAAACCTGACGCGCCTTGTCGGCTGCTGAGAAAAGGAAATCCTTGACTGGGTTTGTCACTCATCTGCCTCCGCATGCTGACTGTTGCGCGCGGCTTTCCGCCGCTTCCACTGACTGGTGCGACTTCATAAATCGGGTTTGTCACCCCTCTTCTTGTACGAAGTATTACTTCATTGAATCCTGAAGAGATCTCCTTATGAGCGGCTTCCCGCTGCATGGGTTTGTCACCCATCTTTCAGAAGCAGTCTCGAGAGTTGCTTCTAAAGTGCGTGGCTTTCCGCCACTTCCTCTTTGGTGCATGGGTTTGTCACCCATTACTCGGGAGCAGTCTCAAGAGTTGCTGCTGATTTGTGTGGCTTTTCGCCACTTCCTCTTCGGAGCCATCGCCTCGTTCACGAAGCTTGGGCTCTAGGACTGTGTAGTATCAGCCATGTCCCTGCTGAAATCTGAGGCGGCATATGAAGAACTTGCCACGGAATGTGGTCTTTCAAGTGCTCAGCTGCTGATCCTGAAAGGGAAAGGTGTCTCGACGATGTCGTCATTGGCCTATGCTGTCACCACCCCGGGTGTGCAACCTACGGAGCTTGCCCTTCGCCAGCTTTTGGACACTGCCACACCTGAAGCTGTTTCAGTTGGCGCCCTATCATCCATTCGGCGGTGTGTGTTTGAGTGCCAGACTTGTGTTGTGCAACAACTCAAGCTCTCAGTTGAAGGGCATGAGGGAGACAAGAAATACGACCTCCCACCTGCTGAGCGCACCAGCCGCATTGCGGCTCAAAAGGCCAGGCTTGTCGGCTTTGAGTTAACCGGCGCGATGGAGTGCGCATACTCCTGCTACACTCTTGTGGGCTCCATGCTTGAAGCCGACTCGCCAATTTACTTGGAGCCCCACAGGTTCATCACCAGGCAACAGGAGGTTTGCAGAGAAAAACCCAAGCGTGAGATCGTGCTCGATGGGGGCACCAAGCTCACTGTTCGTGATCAGCAGAGTCGTGACCGTTGCCAGATCACCAATGAACTTCAGCTCTGGCAGGCTCTTACACGTCGGAGCTTAGCCTGTGACCTTATGGGTGCCATCAGCTTCCAGGTGCAAGAATCTTGGCACCGCTTTCTGTTCGATCGCATGGCTCAGCCTCCCTCTCCGAGGTGCAGCAAAGTTTCCATGGAGCAACTGCTGAGGGCTGATCGTCAGGCTTGGGTTCAGTTGGCTGAGACGGTTAAGACGCTTAAGGCTTAAGAGGGATAGTGCCGGCGTGTTGCCTCTTGATGCTGCCTTCCCGGGTCTTCGCACTGACCCTGCTGTCCTGTTCAACCTTCTTCCTTTGAGATCGCCTGATCCTCCTCAGAAGATCCCGAATCCGGATAAGGGCAATGGTAAGGGCCTTGATAAAGGTATCAAGAGGGACTCTGAAGGCCAGCCTCGAAAAGAGTCCCAACTTCCTGATGCCCTCAAGAACATTCCAAATCTTAAGAAGAAGACTTCGAAAGGCAAGCGACTTTGTTGGGCATACAACATCAAAGACAGGGGGTGCAGCCATGCTGAGGCTGGCAAAGCTTGTCGCTTCGGTCTTCACTTGTGCATGCGCTGCGAGAAGCCTCACCCCCAGTTCGAATGCCCTGCAGCTTCTGCTTCTTGACTCTCACGTGAGTCCGGGGAGACCTGCACTGATGAGGCACCTCAGGTACCGGCTCCTTGTGCAAGCTCCCCTATCCCCATTTTAGATGACATTTTTCCTTTGCTGCCTGACAAGGTTGATGCTTCTGCCGAAGTTAAACATCCGGCCGAGGAATTTTCGCTGGGTGTATTGACATCTGGCACCGCTCCTTCGCGCAAAGACGTTTTGCATCTTTCCACACTTCTTCCTTTCGATGCTCCTCAGCCTTCTCGGGATTTAGGTAGTGCCGGTCAATCGTGGACCACGGGTCTGTGCACCAAAGGTGGTATCACGGCCCTTCGATCTAATGTAAAATCCTTTCCATTTTCGTCTTCTCTGCTTTTTGCTTTCATCAGAGCCATCAGTCCTTCCTTCGAGTGCACCAGTGCTGCTCTCTTTGTCGACTCGCAGACAGCTCTGCATCGCGACAGCTACAATGCGCACCTACCCAATCTGTTGATTGGGGTCAGCTCCTTCTCAGGTGGCCAACTTTGGATCGAGGGAGAGGGACCTCATCCAATGACTGATCCTTCAGGTGCCCAGCTTCATGGACAGCTGCACGAAGTCTCCCTCAGTCATCTCACTTTCGAGACTTGGAAACACAGACACTGCACAATGCCTTTTTTGGGGTCTCGAGTGGTGGTAGTCGGGTTTTCGGTTGCTAGACACGAGTCGATGCCTCTGGCTTGTCGCAGTGCTCTTGTATCCTTGGGTGTGCCCTTGCCTTCCATCGAGTGTGGTACCGATGGTGCTCCTGTGCTGGAGCCTCTCCCGCCAACTGTGCAACCCTTCTTGGACAGAGTTAAACGGCGTATCTCTGGTCGTCCCTCGAGTGACGTGTGCGTTCGCGCATGCGATGGCGTTGTCGTGTGCGGCGACAGCGAGCGACCTGCGTTTTAACGCGAGCGAAACTTTAGGCTCATACACTTTCTTCCTTTCAAATTTTATCATTTAATTTTCGGCACTTGTGCTCGTCTTGCTTTCAACGTGCCTTGTTCGTTGACATCCTCAGCATGACGAAGTTTCGGGCCCAAGATCAGCCGAAAATTTTTGTTCATAGGGGGGCTGGGTCGCTCTCGGGCTGTCAGCTCAATGGCTGCCGCTGACCGCGTGAGTGCTTCTTTTCCAGAGAGTGACGATGCCACCCTTCCAGGCGATGACGATGACATGGTCGAGGTTCTCATTGAACCTTTGCCGCCGACGCCGGAGCCTGCTGCAGTCGCCACTCTTCGCGACCTTCAGGACTTGCAGGTCCACGTGGGTGCCCAAGTGGCGCCAGTGGCCGATGATGTGGCTGGCCTCATCTTCCAGGTCGGTGAGCTTCAAGCACAGGTGCGTACTTTGAAGACTGATGTTCTGTCTCGCCTTGATAGCCTGGCTGAGAGAATGACTGAGCTCGAGGAGGCGATGGCCGAGGTAGCCACTGCCATTGCCCGTCTTGCTGTCACCAGTGTGCTGCCTGTGCCTCACTCTGACGGCAGCCGCTAGGCCCTGCTTTCTTTCAGGGCCGTCGTTTCGGTGACGTCTACCAGGGAGACTTGCCTCCGTGGGCTGTCGATGACCGACGCCGTGGCACTTAGGACTTTTGTGAGCTCTGCAGTTGCGTTGCATTTTGCACCGGCGCCTGCTTTGCAGATCTCCTGACATAGCAGCTGGCGATGCCCAGCCCAGATCGTGCATCACTCAGACTGTGTGCAAAACAGCATTCTTGCGGCGCGATCCCTCATTTCGAGCCTGCGGGTGTCTGCATTGTGCTGGGACTGTGTTTTTGCATTCCGCAAGTCAACTTCTGCGCATGCCCGTATGCAACCACGCTTTTAGTCTACAGGCGTAGGTCTGCCGAGCTAGTGGTAGTACCTATGGGTATATGCAGCCAGGCCTCTCCGAAGCTTTTGGCCTGATCGATCGCATTCAGCGGTTACTTGCCATCTTTCGCTTGTGGATCCACGAAGCACGTGGTCGGTTGGACGTTGCATTTCTTGAAATTTCTTCTTTGAGAGTGCAGCTGCACGGGCTTGAAACTTCTCAAGCCGGGAGCCACAACATCCACTTGAACTTTGAAAGACGGTTTCTTGATCTTGAAGAAGGACTGGAGGATACACAGGAGCGTCAACGCTCCGAGCTTCTCAGGTTTCGCCTGCTGCTTCAACGCCTCTACCTGTGGCTTGCATTTACTTGCATCGGTGCACTTCAGCTTTTGCGCCTACTGCTGGACTGAGAAAACCATGTCTTCTCCTGCTTCAGCCGGGGCAATGGATAGGGCCCTGACCCGGCGTGCCGTCTGGGTCCATGACAGTTTTGCAGTGCATCGGCCGCAAACCTCTTCCCGTACTGCTGACTTCGCTCATCAAGTCGCTTTCGCCAAGTTTTGTGAGGACATGCAGACACAGCAGGAACCGCTGGCCGAGCAGTTGGCCAGACAAGCCTGGGCTCGCCATGACATCGACCACCCCGATGCTGCTTCGTTGACGCCTTCGGAATCTGGAGATATCGGTGAAGAACGAGACCCTCATACCGTCTTCGCTGGTCTGTCCGATGAACGCAAAGCAGCCTTGGCCGCCGGATCCAGCTGGGAGGCACCGACCCGAATCGTGCATCGCGCTCCCTCTGAGCCGCCGGCTACAGATTCTGAGGGCCATGGCGATTGGTTGCGCGGCCTCAGTGGCCGTCTTGATGACGTTGAGAGTTTTTGCGGGTCAATCATCGACCCCCGGTTCTCTCGCAGTCTTCATGCTCGCTTACTCCGAGTGGAGCGCCTGCTGAACGTTCCCGAGCAGTAGCTGTGTTCAGACCACATCACATGTGCACCGGATCCCTGGTCCCAGGCTTGAGAAATCCGGCCGTGTGCCTCTGCCTTTCAGTTTCATGCACGTAACTGCATGCGCTTACACACGTGCTGATCTGAGCGTCTTGCTTTCCGCCAATATTGTTATCGGGGGGATTCAAGCCCCATTGGCTTTGCTGGGTCGACGCTCCCTTTCGAGGTCCGGATGTCTGCAATAAATCTTCTTCTAGCTTTGCTCCGGACGTCTGCAATAAGTCTTCTTCTAGCTTTGCTTGAGCAGGCCAGATCTCTTGACGTACTGAGGTGGCCCATTTCTCAGCAACCCGGGCTGTTGAAATGTGCTCCTGGTAAGCTGTCACTCGGTCCTTGTTGCAGGTTGCTGTCGACATCGTGAGCTTCAGGCCGATCTTTTTCTGGCAAGCCGGTGCCAGAGTTTGGCAAATCTTTCGGGAGGTCGATCCGTCTGGTGATCGACGTCCTGCACTTCAGGCTGCCTTTCGCCTGGCAAACTGGTGCTGGGATGTGACGAGACCAGTCAAGAAGGTCTGGTCCTCCTGGCTCCGGCGATTTCCGCAGCCTGACCCTCAGCAGTTCCACTCCCAGCAAACTGGGCTGGGAATCGGCATGACTGCTTTGCGGCAGGAGACATCCTCAGCAACCGGTCTGAGCGAGTCGCCCGGTTCGACGTTCCGAATCTCGGCAAACAGGAGCTGGGAATCTTCGTCACCCCGTGGCTGTTGGCGTTCTCCTGCCGAGCCGCGAGCTCCTCAGCAACTGGGTTGAGTGAGTCATCTGGCGTGGCGGTCTCGCAGGTCTGAGACCCTAGTCCTCCTGACTGCCACGTCGTGGGCTCCTCAGCAACTGGGTTGGGTGAGTCACGTGGCCTGGCGATCTCGCAGGTCTGGGGCTCTGGTTCTCTGGGCCGCTCGATGGCTTTGACACCAACCATGATATGCTTCGGGTCGCCGTGGCCGACTCAAGTTTCTTATCATGGCTCATGCGACTTTCGTGGCAGCTCTTTCAGGTCGGTGATCCATGCTTCGGCTCGTGGTCTGCCTCATGCTGGATGCCTGCCGTGAGCACCGGGACTTGTTAGCTCCAGCCATAACTCGGTTCAGCACCAAAACGTGTGTGCCTTTGAGATGCTCCGGATTGCATTGTTTGCAACACCGATTCCATTCGACGGCGGGGTTGCCAGCATCGTCTTGTTGTGCACAGGTTCCAGAGCTTAACTGCACTGTGTAGTCGATCGGTGTTCGCCCTAGCGACATGGACTCCTTGACTGATGAACAACGGGAGTACCTTGCCACACTGAATCGTCGTGGCCCGGCTAGGCTGCGTGATGCCAGTCGCTCTCGCAGCCGTGACCGCCGTGCCATCGCTTCTTCGACCGATGAGCGCTCTCGCCCTTGGCGTGCACCGAGTCCGCTGCTGGTCCAAGGACCACCCGCTCTTGCGGAACAGGTGCGGCTCTTGCAGAGCAGCATCGAGATTATTGAGCGCCGCCTGACAAACCTCAACATTGGTCAAACGCAGCTGCTCATGGTGCTTGGACACCACCCAGACTTTGGGGTTCCGTTCGGGGCCATCGCTGAGTTTGTTGACACCATGAAGGCCACCGTTCAGGACATCAAGGCGTCGATCGAGGATCTTCGCGCTAATTCTGCAGAGCAGTGCATGCTTCTTAGCAGCCGCCTTGACCGCCTCGAGGAACTGGTTCAGGCTCGCACGTGACTGGATCGCCTGGTGCCGACTTAGCTCTGTGTGACAAAACGTGCCGCTCAAACTTAAGTGATGTCTAAGTGCCGGTAACATTTCATGCCGCCTTTGCATTGTTGCCTTATGGCTTGTTTTCTTCTCGAGATTGGGGCCAATGGTGAACTTCCGCCGCCGATGGAGTTTGCAGGCATCTCGAGCCTCTGAAGATGCTCGATCCCGGAGTCCTTCCGTTCGCATTGCTGAAGCAGCAGAGCGTGCTGATTCTTTCTTCGAGGAGCATTCACCTCTTCTTTCGGAAGATGCTAGGTCCTGGAGTCCTTCCTTTTTCAATGCTGCATTGTGCGCCGGTTCTCCCCTTGGAGATCTGGCTGACAGCAACCACGGCCTAGATCCGGCCCCCGAACGCAGCTCGGGATCCGATGGATGGGAACGTGTGGGCTCTGCACTGCCTCAGGACCCTGGCCCGGTCCTAAGTTCCGAAGTTCAGCGAGCCGTGGTGTATCAACGTGATGTGTCCCTGCCGAAGCTTCCCTACGAACATGGCATTTGGGGCCTCGTCTTTGGGTCTCCTGCATCCCTGCCCACCGCCCGCTTCCCTGCACCAGTTGGTCCCCGGCCTCAACCGATCCCCACCCCCCCTGACCCGTCCACGAATTCCCTCGAGCTCTCTGCTGCAGCTCCCCCTGACGTCAGCCTGGCCCGGATCAAAGCCGCCACTTTTCGTGTCACTGATGCAGCCCTTCGTGACCGTTGCTTGGTGCAGCTTAAGACTTTGTTGCTTCTTGACCCGTCGGCCACCAAGACCGGCATTCAGATGACTACGTGCTTCGGCAAAATTTTGGAGCCTGACCGAGCCCTCTTGGTTCTTCAGGACACGTTGCGGCCCAAGGCCACTGGCACCATCAGCAAACGCACGGGCTCTCTCTGGCGCCTGGCTCACTACCTGGCCTCCGTGGACGGCCGCAGCCCCTTCATGGTTTCGGAGCCCCTGCTCTATGAGTATCTCTGCTCACTTCGTGAAGCTGAAAGTGGTGCTACCTCCGGCGCCTCCGCTTTGGAGGCCTTACGCTTCGCTGATGGTTTGTTTCGCTTCCAGCGGATCTCTCTGCGTGAGGTGGACAGCGCCCGCATTCGTGGTGTGGCGCATGCCATGTATGTTCGCAAACAAAAGCGCCAGCAAGCCCCTGCCTTGACTGTTCGTGCCATCCGCTTCCTGATGGCATGGTGCTGCGACCCGTCCCGGCCTCTGCATACGCGCATTATCTCTGGCCACCTTCTTGCGTGCATCTTTGCAGTCGCACGTTGGTCTGACTTGCGCTTCCTTGCCTTCTTCCGGGTGCTCTCTGACGACGAGTTCAGCATCTTCGAGTCCGCGACTTCCCAGCACAAGACCGCACACTCCAAGGAGGCCCAGGTCGAGCTCCTTCCATTCATTGGCTTAGGTCAATGGCCGGGCTGTGAGTCATGGGCTGCGTGTCTTGAGACTCTTCGAGCCGAGTCCGACCTCTCGCAAGGCCTGCCATCCTGGAACGAACGCGAGCGGCGAGCAGAAGTGGGCTCTCGGTGATCCCATGACTACTTCCGAGGCCACTGGATGGTTGCGGGAGATCCTCTCTCACGAGCTTGACCCCACCGATGTGCGGGCACTTCGAGCCCACTCCTGCAAAACAACCTTGTTGGCCTGGGCTGGCATGAGCCCTCTCTTCACTCGTGAAGAACGCACACTGCTTGGACATCACATTGAGGCTTCTACTCGGTCGGCAACTACATACGACCGCCAGGCCATCATTCGTCTTCAGGCCAAGGTCTGGCACATGCTGCTTTCCATCGACTCCGGCGAGTTGAATCCTGATGCTGATGCTCTTGGCCGATTGCGTTCCATGGTGCAGGTACATGCACCCCGTCCAGCTTCTGCTCAGACCTCCGCGGAACCTGCATCTAGCTCTTCTTCCGATGATGAACCTGCCGGCCTTCCTGCACCGCTACATCGAGATCGAGTTCCCCTGCCGGCCGCCGCCTACGAGTACGCCTGGCTTGTGCACTCTGTGAGCGGTATTGTCCATGTGCAGTCTCCCCAATCACCTGAGCGTCTGATGTGCGGTCGCTCCATTTCTTGCAATTTTGAGCATGTTTCGCCAGCCGACCTTGATGTTGAGCAGACTGCATTTTGTGGCCAGTGCAGCGCCTCACGTTTGCTGTCCGCAGCTGCATGACTGTGCCTTGCCGAGAAAATCGCTTTGTGCTTGCCTTGCCTAGCCTTCGCATTTTGCCTCTGCCTCACCTTGTGGTCTGTGCCCGCGCCAAGTTACGGCTCACCACGGCAATTCAGACTGCGCCATGGCCTTGGATTCTTCAGCTACTTTCGAGGCTCGCTGCCTGGAGCTCGGATTGGCCGCGACCTTTGTGCAAGAGCTGCATACCGGGGGCATTGACACATATGCCTCTCTTGCCTTCTGTCAGCCACACCAGGCTAACAGTGGAATCGACGATGTTGCACTTGTGCGTCACGTGAGCTCGCTCGTCTCTTCAGCTCTCTCGGCTCACCAGACCACTGCATTGCGACGCCTTGCGTTTGAGGCGCAGGCTCTGGCTCTTCAAGATCTGCGCAGCAAGCTTGAACGTACCTCAGATTCCGAGCCGAAGGTTCTTCCCTTACAGGAGAAACTCGAGCGCAGCTCTCGCCTACAGAATCGGCTCGTCGGGGTCACCTTCACTGATCACAATCAGCCTGCGCATGCCCTGGTGGACAAGGCATCTCAGCAGTTCGATGAGGGCGTCCTTCAATACCTGCAGCTCAACAAATGCATAAGCCGTTACCAAGAGGCCCTCGCTGAACGCTCTTCCGCCTCTCTACGCTTCGGCTCGGATGGTGCCATCAAGGTGTCGCGGGAGTCCGCGGGTGGTGAATGTGACATCTCCACTGCCCACCTCCTTCGTGCCGCTTTTCAGCGGCGGGCCATGGCTTACGATATTGCAGGTGTTGCCACCTACGAAGCTCTGGACGCCTGGGCCCAGAATCTCTTTGATCGTCTTGCGACTCCTGTGCCGTCCAGTCGTTACTCTCCTATTGGCCTCGAGCAGATTTTGGCTGCTGACAAAGCCCTTTGGGTTCGCCTGTCTCAGCTGAGCCGTGGGCTTCTGGGTCGCAGTGACGCCGCCACAGGTGCCTTGCTGGTTGACAATTTGATTCTGGATTTGAGCAACCACCCCGAGGTCGTCTGGCATTTCCTCCCGCTGGCAAATGCTTCTCACACCCCACCTCCCAAGCCTCATGCTGCTCAGCCTGCCCGCAAGCGCAAACGAAGCCAAAGGCGTGCCTCCTCTGCTCCACCTGCGCCTGCTGCGTCACTGGGTCGAACCCCTGCGAAGGGCCCAGGCAAAGGCTCCGGCGCCGGCTCTCGCATTCAAGTGCCTGATGGCTGCACCATTCGCTTTTCCAAAGGCCCCATTTGCATGAAGTTCAACCTGGGGACCTGCCGCGCTTCTCATGTGAAGCCTGGTGCTCGTTGCAGCAACGGCTACCACGTGTGCTGGAAAATCGGATGCCACCGCCATAAGCCGGCCTGCGAGTGCAGCCACTCGTGACTACACGAGCCTTTGCAGACCGGCGATTTTGTCTCGCCGCCCCACGCCGGTCACCCTGCTGAGCAATTTGCGGCCCGCTTTGCCGACTCTGTTATGACTGCCGAGCAAGCCTATCAGCTTTTTGAACTTTTGCCTGCTGAGGCTCCGGCTCGTGCTGCATCTCTGCTGCCTCAGTCAAAGTCTTTTACCACTGGAGCCTTTGCATACTCCAGCGGACCTGGCTTGCGTCGCCACACCCGTGTTTTCCCTTTGGCGACCAAGGCCCTTGCCGATTTTGTGCGAGCTACTTGTGCCACGCACTCTTTCTCCAGCATCGCTATCTTCCGCGATTTGACTGCTCCCCTGCATTTGGACGCCCTTAACCAGCCGTCCCAACCCAATCTGCTCATCCCTCTCACGGCCTTTTCAGGTGGAGGCGTGTGGTATGAGTCCCCCTCCGGCACTTCTCATCGCCTCTTGGACGGTGTCGTGACGCCTGGTTGTGTGCTTGATGTGGCCTCCGGGCCGGTCTTCCTTCCTGCTGCCGAGGCGCGTCACCAAACACTCCCTTGGGAGGGCACTCGCTGCGTTCTGGTTGCCTTCACTTCCCTTGACGCGCACACCCTGTGCCCCGCCGATCTCGACACTCTGAGTCGCGCCGGCTTCTCTTGTGGCGCCCCTGGCACGCCACGCGCTCCGCCTCCTGTCCCGCACACTAGCCTGCGACCAATGGCGGTCGAACTTTGCGCCGGCTCGGCCTCCCTGTCGGCCGCTCTTCGCGCTGCCGGCTTTGCCACTTTGGCGGTTGACCACCACTGGAATACGCATTCCCCGCAGCACTCCATCTGCCAGCTGGATCTCAGCTGCCCCCAGCAACAAGAGCTCTTGCTCCGATGGATGCGCGCACAGCCGCTAGCACATGTGCACCTCGGCCTCCCCTGTGGCACCTGTTCGCGGGCCCGCGAACGTGCTCTGCCTCACGGTGTGCCTGGGCCCGCCCCGCGGCCTTTGCGTAATCTGCTCCACCCCCTAGGCCTCCCTAACCTCACCCCTGCCGAACAGCGCCGCGTCTGCCAAGCCAATGCCGTCTACTGGTTCGCTTTGGATGTCCTGGAGCTCGCCGCCAGCATGGGTGCCACCGTCAGCCTCGAGAACCCTTCTCGATCCTGGCTTTGGTCAGCGCTACGTGCCATGGCCGAGGAATCCCAACGTGTGCATCTCCTTGCCCAGCTCGAAGAATGCATCTTTGACTCTTGCATGCACGGCGGCCGCCGCAAGAAGAGCACCAAGATCTTAGGATCCCCCGGCCTCTTCAGCAGCCTCCGGGCCTCTTGCGACTCCTCACACACCCATGCGCCGTGGACCATTGACCAGACAGGCCGCGGGCCGCGCTTCGCCACTGCCGAGGAAGCGCAGTACCCTCGCTTGCTTTGCTTGCGCATGGCGCAGGCTCTGGCCACGCGTCACCAGCTCCCCGAGCCTGTGCCTACTGCTTCCGCCAGTCTATCTCAAAGCGTCCGCCGCGGCCCTCGCCCGCTCATCCCCGAGTTCTACGAGTGCGCCCGGGTGCCTGCAACCTCCACTCTGCAGCCCCACGAGCGCGTGCTGTCTTCTTTGCCATCGGGGGTATCAATCTCCCAAGACAGCATCCCTGAGTCTTCTTCCACTGCATGCGTCAACATCGGCCGACAGTGGAACCCTCAAGACTACTTGAATTTAGCCAAGCAGACCGAACATCCGAGGAATCCTGGCCAAGTTCTCCCAACGGTGCTGAAAGATGCCGTGGACACGGTGTTGACAACCGACCCGGTCGACACGGCAAAACGGCGTCTGCAGGCCGTGATAACCATCAAGCAGTTAGCCAAAGAGCTTGAAGGGAAAGAAGACGAGTTCAAATCGTCTCTGGACCCGGACGTGGCAAGTATCCTCAGTCCCAAGAAACTTTGCTTCTGGAAGGCCCTCCTCAAGGCTTCCGACTTCGATGATTGCGGGATCGTCGACTTGATGGCTAGAGGCATTCCTCTTGTTGGGACGCATGGGCCCGTCCCCAATCTAGAACCTGGAGGAGAACCTTCCTCGGACTCACCGGACAACCTTCTTGCGTCGGCTCCTCTCAGGCGTGAAGCCATGATTCAGTCTCGCAAGATCCCCAGTGACCAACATCAGAACGACCTTGTCTCGGCTTCCATGGAAGAGGTCAGCAGGGGCGATCTGAAAGGCCCCCTCACGGAGAGCGATGCCCACCAGCACTTCGGTTCCGAGCATTGGTTGCTCAACCCCAGGTTCCCGATTTACCAGGGAGTTAGTCTTAAGCTTAGGGTTATAGACGACGCCAAGGCATCGGGTTTAAACTCTGCCTTCTCCCCGTCGTACAAAGTCAAGCTGATGGACATTGACGTCTTGGCCTGCCTGGTAGCTCACGTGGCCTCGAGTCTGCACCTGGGGCACTGTGACGGAAACCCGGTACACCATCTCGTAGCCTCATCAGAGTGGGAAGGAGGCACGCTTGACTTGGCCCGAGCATACAAGCAGGTACCGATTGACCCAGCCTCGAGGCCCTTCTGTGTCGTGGGCTTCCCGACCTCAGAAGGGTGGCAGTACTACAGGTCGGACGTGCTTCCATTCGGCTCCAACGCCTCGGTGTACGCATTCCTGAGGATCTCGCGTGCGTTGCACCATGTGTTGGTCAAGTTCCTCGCTGCACTTACCACGGTGTTCTACGACGACTTCCCCATCATAGAACCGGCCATGGGAGCTCCGGTCCTGAAATCTGCGGTATCGGCCGTCCTCGACTGCTTGGGATGGGCCCATTCCAAAGACGGCGACAAAGCCCTGCAATTTGCCGGCTCGTTCGTCGCCCTCGGGGTCTTGGTAGATCTGAGAGGAATTCGGTCCGCCAAATTCCGCCTGTCGAACAAGCCAGGCAGAATCGACAAGCTAGTCGAGATGATCCAGCAGTTCAGCGACGAGGGGCGCGTCGACTCTGGGCGGCTTTCGATTCTGCAAGGTCACTTGAACTTCGCCGCCGGGTTCTACATGGCCAAGGGACTACGCTTCTTATCCAAGGAATTTGCCAAGTTGCTGGATGGGCGTCGTTCCACATCCGAGATCAGAGCTTTGTGCAGGCTTGCCATAGCTCTTCTTCGGGGGACTCCCGAGCGCGAGTTTGACTTGGCCGTCACTGGGCAGCCTGTCATCATTTTCACTGACGGGTCCTGGGAAGGGGGCAGGGCAGGCGCCGGCGGAGTCGTTTTCGACCCAGCCACAGAAGCCACCCAAGTCTTCGAACTGGAAGTTCCGGGTGAGCTCCTTGCGGCATGGCAACAGCAGGTGGGCACTCAGCTCATCTGCCAGATCGAAGCTTATGCTGCAATATCTGCCAGATACCTCCTCCGACACGTCATCCGAGATCGCCTCGCGGTCATGTGGATCGACAACGAACCAGCGAGGGTGGCTCTCTCCAAGGGGACCGCGGACTCCGAGTCTCTGAGAGCCATGGCCAGGGTCATGCAGTCCATCGAGATCTCTCATCCTTCGGTGCTGTGGTACGAGAGAGTCTGCTCCTTCAGCAACCCCGCGGACATGCCGTCCAGGGGGGATGCAGAGGCTGCAGCCCGCCTCTTCGGCGGCAGAGTCGTTAACCTCGGCTCGGATGGACCCGTCAGGGATGCGATCCTCCTTGCTGCAAGAGATCCCTACGCCAACCTGGTGGTGTAGGGGTGAGGGCAGACGTGCTTCCAAACAGGGGACATCATCCGCACGTCGATCGCCCCAGCAGTCAAAACATCAGTCCGAGGGAAGTGTACGTGCGAGTGACTGTCCGTGTTGACCTCTTAACTTCGCAAACATATTTGATTGGAGAAACACATATCATCATTTATATCACATATTTGGATTCGGCCAAATACTCGGCCAAATACCTTTTGAGTGTGAGCCGACGGTTTTCGTCGCAAGCGACGTGTGCGTTCGCGCATGCGATGGCGTTGTCGTGTGCGGCGACAGCGAGCGACCTGCGTTTTAACGCGAGCGAAACTTTAGGCTCATACACTTTCTTCCTTTTAAATTTTATCATTTAATTTTCGGCACTTGTGCTCGTCTTGCTTTCAACGTGCCTTGTTCGTTGACATCCTCAGCATGACGAAGTTTCGGGCCCAAGATCAGCCGAAAATTTTTGTTCACCCGCCCACCACGGCCCTCGGTCACTGTCGTCATAAACTGGCTATGACCCGTGCCCTGGTAGCACGAACCTGTTTTCACCTAGGCCAACTGGGTGCCTAGCCCATCCGTCGACATCATCCGCACGTCGATCGCCCCAGCAGTCAAAACATCAGTCCGAGGGAAGTGTACGTGCGAGTGACTGTCCGTGTTGACCTCTTAACTTCGCAAACATATTTGATTGGAGAAACACATATCATCATTTATATCACATATTTGGATTCGGCCAAATACTCGGCCAAATACCTTTTGAGTGTGAGCCGACGGTTTTCGTCGCAAGCGACATAGCATTCCTTGAAATCTTTGCCAGGCAAGGTGGTGTGTGTGCGGCTGTGCGCAGCCTCGGCATGCAAGGTTTTGCAATCAATCGTCATCCCCGAAACACTCGGGCCCCATTTCGCTTTTGCGAGACATCCTTTCGAAGGATAATGTTGTTGCTGTGCACATGTCTCCTCCTTCCAACTTCAGTGACCTTGCAGTAAGCATTTACACGGAGTGCTGTGCCAATGGTCTTCTTTGCTGCCTCGATGCCCCGTGCAGCTCCAACCTTTGGAAACTTCGTGACCTCCGGGGTGCCTGTCCGCAAATCTCCACCCACTACAGTCCTTGCTTCGTGCACGACGGGCTGTGTCAGCATCGGCGCCTGATTCACAACTTCCCTGCACTGTCAAGCCTTAGCTTTCCGTGTGGAGGGGGATGCAAACCACCAAATCCAGTGTTGCCTTTGTCGTCGTCCCCTGGTCAGCTTTGTGCCATGGTAGCAAGGGCCTTTGCTGTTGAATTGCAACACCAGGGTGCTCGGTTTCCTGCAGCAGAACTTCAGGAGCTTGGGCTCCCGTTGGCACGAGCCGCTCAGGTTGCCTCCGGAAAGCAACCCAAAGGCAAACGTGTCCCGCCTTTGGTGTCTGAGTACAAGTCCATCATCACTGTCACTGGCCCCTCTTGTGCTATGCCCCCGAAGCAACTCTCGGAGGATTGGGCCATTCCTGATAAAGTCTTGTGCAAGCCCTCCTTAAAGCGGCTACCCAAGACCGCCAAGCTGATTCGCACTGTGCCGTCTGCTGGGGGTCCCTGCAGTGCTACTCTAAAACTTGGTTCTGATAGTTCGGGTTTAGCCCCTTCCTCCCCTGTGGATGACTCCTTAAAGCCTGGTACCCTGCTTGATGCCTGTTCGAAGCCTGTCGAGGGCCCTTCTCTTGCCGCAGTCCCGCACGAGGAGCGAACTTATGGTATCGCGTGGACCCCAGAAGAATTCGTCAGACAGGCTCGCGGAGCCCTACACCCCAAGCGTATCGAAAATGGTGTACCAAAGATTTTAAAGGAGACCATTGTGCGATGCGCCCAGGAGTCGCCTGCCGATCTTGCCAGGGAACGCACCGCTACGTTGAGGAGGTGGATGCTTACCTCTGAGGAGGCGGCATCCCATGCAGATCCCTCCGACATGCCCGATCACTGTGCCGCAGTTCTTGGTAAGAAATCCATGAAAGTCTTCAAATCCCTCTTGACTGAGGCCGAGTACCCGGACACAACCTTGACCAAGGACATCTCAACTGGGTTTAACCTTCTAGGCCCCATACCCGCGTCTGGAGTCCTTCCCTCTAAGGTTTCCGCTGCCTCGCTCACCGTTGAGGACGTTCGTGCAGCCACTCCCCTTGCCAGGAAAGCCATCCTGACCTCTGCCAGAGAAGGTTTTGACCGTGAGGTGGCTGAAAGTGTTTACCAGCTTACGAAAGATGAGCTTGCGAAAGGGTGGCTTAAGGGACCTTTTAAGGAGTCGGACATCCCCCCGGATGCCATAGTCACTAGAAGGTTTGGGATAGTGCAATCCTCCACCGATGCCAAGCTGGGGTCAATCAAGAAGGTGAGACCAATAGATGATTACACGGAATCTCTTGCTAATCTCACGAACAGTGCTAGCGAGACGATCTGCCCTCACGGGGTGGACGTTGTGGTCGCTGCACTGTGTCTTCGCATCAGGTCGGCCCGGAAACTTGGCAAGCGTGAGCAACTTGTTCTTCGGACGATAGACCTTAGAAAAGCCTATAAGCAACTTCCTTTAAGCACTGAAGCTTTGTATGATTCTTTCATAGCTGTGCTTAACCCTCACAGCATGGAAATTGAGATATACCAGACAGTTGTGCTGCCCTTCGGCAGCAAGCCGGCCGTTCAGGGATTCTACAGAACTGCCTTCGGCCTTTGGTGGATCGGAGTCCGGAGCCTGATCCTGCCATGGTCTCTGTATTTTGACGATTTTGTCTTACCCTGTTCGTCCGACGAGCAAAAACATCTTGACTTAGTCCAGTCAACATTTTTCAGGATCGTTGCCTGGGAAACGTCCTCCGAGAAAGACAGTGGTTTTGATGCAGTAGCCAAAGTCTTAGGAGTGCAAATATCCTTGGCTGATTCTAAGAATGGATTGATCTCAGTCCAGAACACCGAGGCCCGCAAACGCGAACTTTGCTCATCCATCGATGAGGTCTTGACCCGAGGCTTTGTTGGCCAAAATGAGCTTCTCTCTCTACGCGGGCGACTCCTGTTTGCCGAGAGTCAAATCTTTGGCCGATCAGCTTCGCTTCACATGCGCAACCTTTCGCACTTCTGTCAAAAGCACGGCAGACTTGTGGTTGGTGCTAGCTTAAGGGCCTCCTTGACTTTCTTGAGAGACCGTGTGGTTCTTGGCAAACCAAGGTGTGTAGACTCGAGTCTGCGACAAGTGTATCACGTGTACACTGACGCTTCCTACGACGACCAAGGGGGTGGCCTTGGTGGTTTGGTTTACGACTTTAAAGGTCTGTGCCTTGCCTGGTTTAGCGAAGTAGTCACCTCCAAGGACCTTGAGATCATCAACCCTGATGGTAAACTTACCTTGATCTACGAGCTAGAAACCCTTGCCGCGGTCTTAGGTGCCACCCTAATCCCTAACCTACGCCACTGCGACATTGTGCTCTTCGTTGACAACGAAGCTTCACTGGCGGCTCTCATCCGAGGACAGTTAGATTGCCTTTTTGTGGAGTCTCTTCTCTCCCGCCTCTTTCAGGCTGAAGAGGAGCGTGATCTTGCGATCTGGTTCGAGCGTGTTCGCAGTGAAAGCAATCCTGCAGATGCCCCTTCGCGGGGCGACCACAGTTTTCCCGCCTTTTCCAGGCGGCGCTTCAATGTGCAATCCTTGCTGACCGATCTGTGCGGTTCTCTTCAAGGGGGGGCCTCGCAAGGTACCGATCTGTCAGCTCCCACTGCGAGTTAAAATGAAGACTGGGTCCGAGTGCTGCCTGTCGCACTTGAATATCAATTCGCAAATATATTTGTGATTGATTTTTCATATATCTCATTTATAAACAAGACGCAGAGAATAAGAAGAACTTCCTCCGAAGGAGGACGGATTTTTATTCTCAAGTCTTGTTTTCAACAACTTGGTTTTTCCAACCTTGGTTGTTTTCCAACCTTCTTTCATGCCGAACTCTTCCCAAACTCTTTTTCCAGTCGCCTTTTCGGCTCCAGTTCGCTTTTCGCCCACCCTCCTCACCCATTGGCTTTTCGCCTTTTTCCTTTTTCCAGTTTCACTCCTTGTGCTTTGTGGCCTAACCCTGCCGTTGGGCCTCGCAAGGTACCGATCTGTCAGCTCCCACTGCGAGTTAAAATGAAGACTGGGTCCGAGTGCTGCCTGTCGCACTTGAATATCAATTCGCAAATATATTTGTGATTGATTTTTCATATATCTCATTTATAAACAAGACGCAGAGAATAAACAGGTCTCCATCTTAGCTTGTTTTCCCGTTGCATTGGGTAGATTATGGCCGTGGCCAAAGTGGCTGAAGGAGCATGTCACGGACTTCAGGAGACCTTGAACAATCGGGCTCACTCGCCATGCGCTTGCAGGATCCATTTCGTAAAAGCGAATGTTGAAAGTCCGCATGTTGACATTTTCCAAGTAATTGTCAATGTTGCAAGGACCGGGTCGCTTGTCGATGATGGGGCACAGAGGCGGATGCTGCATTCCAAGACATTGCAAGATGTGTTTTTGCTTTGTGGGTCGTCCCACGCTAGGTGGCCTGGCCTGGCAGCCTGCTGGGTTGGACTCTGGATCCATTTTCAGGACAGGGTTGATTTTCTTGCTCGTCCCACCACTTTGTTCTGTCCTTGAACCCCGGTGTAGGACTTTGGCGACCAGAGTGGTTCGAGGAACTACCATGGTTCGAGGACTCCGTCGATTGCTGATCAATGCTTAGTTCCAGCTTTCGAATGGCAGGACCAACCGTTGACCAACCCGAGCAGCTGTGCATGAGGCTCGTTCGGGCTGGCGTGCATGCTGTAACGTGCCCGTCCTATACTTGGAGGCCCTTTTGACTTAGTAAGTCTACTTAGTATCCCCCAGAAACCCTATTATTATCCCCATAACCCACCTTACTAACCCTACTTACTAAGTCAAAAGGGCCTCCAAGTATAGGACCTAGGAGTCTTTTGTTTTTGTGAGTTGTATTGTAGAGCACCGTAGTAGAGTCTGCAGAGGGTCCTGAAATTCTGAAGATTCTCGAGGTTTCGGGTTTTTGATCGCTGAGGCTCGCCCGGGTTTTTGTTTGATGCGAGACACCAGTCACTAGTCACTAGTCAGTACACAACTTCGACACTTGGACTCTTTTACATTTTGGGGTGCTCGGGGTTGTTATCTTCTCAACTTAGGCCTGCCCAGTTCGAGGGGCCGACAACTCGAACTCCAGCCTCTTTCGTGTTCTAGTGACAGTGGGAAAGGTATCAATGTTGAAACAGAGACCAGCCGGAAAAGGGAGATACAGTAGTATAGTGAAGCAAACAGGCCGGGGATTCTTCTATGTCGCTATGCGCATTTGATCGAAAGCAGATGGCTATCGAAAATTAGGGCCCATAATTAGGAGAGAACAGATGCAAAGCCTTAGCCACACAGGGACCTAAACCTAAACCCATTCAACGAAGGCCCGAACTCCTGAACTCGACCCCAACCAACACACCGCTGCAGATGGTCACACGGGCCGTGAGAGGCGAGACGCCGGAAAGTGCCCGAAGATAGGGGGAGGGCGGTTCGGGGTGGGATTGGTTCCATGTTTGCTGTTACTTATGGTTGAAGCCAGGGTCGTTCAATTTCGGGACGATGTCACTTAAAGTGTATTCTATTCGTCTGTAGTCTATTGTGTGATGGGGAGGAGTGGCTTTCGACTTCAGGCTGAATCTCAAGATTCTAGTTTTTAGAGCACAAATTGCTGCATTTGGAGTACACAGACACGGCTCCTGGTTGGGGGATTTCGGGTCTGTCGTGGTGTGATTTCCTGGTATGGATTGCTTGAGGAATTGTGTTGTTGGGGACCCATTAACAAATAACTATGCTCACAGGCCATACATTGCCATACGCCATACATCCTCCAATTTGGAGGCTGTCCTAAGTCTTAAGATCGTCCGAACGACCTTGAGGATTTTGTGAAAGCTGTAGGCAACTGTAAGCTGTCGAGGGGTGAGCAGTTTCGGGACCTCTTGGGCTCCAAACCGAGGCTCTTGGCTTTGCTGATTTGAGGTCGAATAGTTAAAGGAAATCCAGCGAATTACAAATTTTACTAATTATAACCGATTATAACCATTCTAACAGTTAGAATGGTTATAATTAGTAAAATTTGTAATTCGCTGGATTTCCTTTAACCAGTGACCAGTTGACTTGAAACGAGACCCGAACACCAGCACTAATGCTTCGTGGCAGGACTGCCAGGGCGGATGTCGTGGGACACCAGGGCCGATGCCGGCAGAAAAAAACATGGCTAAGGAAGGGTTTTCAAGGCTGCGTAGTCTTGTGTTTGAGACGCAAGCAAGTGCATCGATGTTTCCCACCATTGTGGTGTGCCCTGGTGCTGGCGTTGCAAGGCATTGTACTTGGAGGGTCGGGGGACTTAGTAAGTGGTTAATAAGTAGACTTATAAGTACCCTAAATGGGATCCTAATTGGGGTTATGGTACTTATAAGTCTCTAAAATAACTAGTTACTAAGTCCTCCGACCCTCCAAGTAGTGTAGTGGTACTACCTGATAAAACAGATGATTGGTGTAATTGTGTAACTTGTGGCAATGGCAATAACCTCCTGTTGTGGCCGGCACACAGTTCCCTTTACTCTCCCTGAAGTGCTGAAGAAGTGATGTGGGCGACCGATAAGTGACTAGAGTATGAAAACAGCTGTCAACCTATTAAGTACTGTGAGTGCTCCAGGCTGTCATGTGAAAGCTCGGTCAAACAAGTTTTGTGTTTCGGTCTCTACTCTATATATCGATATGTGGTCGTGATGTGTTATAATGTAGCAGTGTAGCATAAGCCCTTATCCCATATGTGTAATTTCAAAACAGATTAAAGTGTAGAAGGGGTGCCGGCTACAAAGGTGCTACAGACTGCTGGGCTGGTAGGTAGATACTAGTGAACTAGTGTGTGCCACTAACTAGTGGCTGCTAGTGACTGCTAGCAGTCTACTGTGAGGGCTGCCGGCTTACCTACCCCAACCCATTTGCCAGAAGCGTGAGACGGACGATGCCGCCAAGAGCAGTGTGGTCGAGCAGGAGGACGAGGAGATTGAGGATTACGAGCCAGACGAAGATGAGCCGGCCCCAGCGCATGAGGACCCCTCGCTCTTCCTCGGCAATGTCCTCGCGTCCAGGGTTGTTATGCCCAAGAAGAAGGCAGCCGCGAAGAAAAAGCCGTCTCTTGTGCCTCCAGCATCCGAGCAGCGTGGGCATCTTGAGCAAAGCCCGGTTCCCTCCGCCAGCCGCAAGAGGACGGCCCAGATCAGCAGGCAGGATTCGGGTCTCGACCTGGACCCCGAGATGAGCAAAGTCAATGAGAAATTGGGCGGAGGAAAGCGGTGCTTGGAGTCCTTGTCGGTCGTCCGGCATTTGGCCGGAGAGAAGCTTGGAGTGCGTGTCCAAGCCGCTGCTTGGCTGAATGCTGATCTGGGGGCACATTGTGGGTAAGCTAACAAAAATATTCGTTGAAACGACGAGATGGCTACTGAGTTACTGGGCTCATGAGGCTAATGACTGCTGCTGTAGTCACTGTAGTAGTCAGTAGTCACTGTACTCCATTAACTAATACTCAGAAGCTGGGCCGGAAAGGGGTTCTGTCGATATTACAAAGCGTGATCTGTTCATGCTTCGGAACCAGTTTATTGCTGCTCACAAATGTTTTTTGTTGAGCTCCTGAGGCGAAGGGCCTCCTGGAGTCCTTGAACTCGATGAGGCCACTGCCGAAGGAGGCTGTCCTGTTGGAACACCGCATCGCTGCTTGTGAATATGGGTCGCTCCTTGCGAACCATGCTCGCACAGCGAACACAGACGTGCTCCAGAAAGCAGTCGACTGTATGATGCAATTGGACATCACCCTTCCGACTTCCATTGCTGCCCAGCTCATCGAGCGACGAGTGGACGAGCACATGCTGATTGCTGCAAAAGATCCTCGCAAGTTGGACGTGAAGTACTACATCTCCTTGATTGTCTTGCTGGTCGTCAGTAGGGAATGAGGGAATGAGTCATCTGCTTCCGCTGATGCCGGAAACCGGATCACACCAAAACAAAATTGCTGCTCAATTGGCCCTTCGGCTCGACGCCCCGGGAGCAAAAACAGAAAAGCAGAAAGAGAGCGAGAACCAAAGAGAGAGCGAGAGAGAGAGAGAGAGAGAGAGAGAGAGAGAGAGAGAGAGAGAGAGAGAGAGAGAGAGAGAGAGAGAGAGAGAGAGAAGGCGAGTCCCAGTCCATGCTTGTAGTGTGGTAGACAGATCCGGAGCGACATTTGTTTCGTATTGTGTGTTTAATCAATACTTGAATTATCATGTGGCACAAAACAGCACGTGTAACAATTCGGCACTTGTTTGATACACAGTCATGACATGGAACTTTGACCTCCTTGAAACTGTTGTTTTCAAGTCGGTTATTAGACTTCTACTGTTTCATCATAGACCAAAACTTGAATTACCATGCGGCAACAGCATTCCAATCAGACATGTTTGTCGATGCTGTGACTGTGTACCAATTCCAGCACATCAAAAGCTCATGCTTGGCAAAATCTAATCTCGCAGACAAATCAAATCATTTGCCACTTGTTTGTTGTTGTTTATGTATGCGTTTCTGCAGCTGCAACATGCACAAGCATGCCCTTTAGACTTTAGCAGCCGGAAACCGACAAAAATAATCCCAGCATCCTGCAGTGACAGACTTTTGCACCATATAGGTCCCTATCATGCATTAAAAAC